AGCTGAAGTTAAATAAATTGAAAAAGAAATGGGGTAGGGTTTCATGGTTATACAACGTTTGATCAAGAAATTGATTAACTCCGCGAATTTCGACTTGGATATAGGATGATTTGGAAGACAAGTTGGAGATATGTTGAACATGAGACTTACAAAATAGAAGACACTCCGATACCAAAGTCAGTATCTGACCGAGCTAAATTCGAGTGAGTATCTAGTATTCGCGTATCTGAAAATGAGGCAAGTGGGTTCTATTATTTATAGGCGAAAAACCCGATAATGTCCCTGATAAGGCCTCAACCACTCGTTAAGGTAACCGTAAATCGCGACATCGTGGAGTCTGTTGGAGATTGGCATTGAGCCGAAGTGAAGCTGATCGGTTCATCCAATAGATTAGGAACGAAATCTCCAGGAAGCTTGATCGGCTCGACCATGCTTTGCATCGACTTGGTCATAAGTAATAGGATCAAGGTAAGGAAATGAATCTTATCGATCCATGCCACATGTGACTTTCATTATCCAATCAAGATGTGCCACGTGTGAGTTGAATATCACTTCCAACATATAATTTAATATATGTGGGAGATTTCTATATAGGAAATAAATTTAATCTAATCCATATGTTTTTTAGTTGAGTGATGATTGATTCATGTTTACTAATTTAATTTTGATTGGATTTGCCTATTACACATTTTTTTTAGCGCCAATTGCCTATTACACATTTTTTTTAGCGCCAATAGTACATATATGGGGATGAGACTTTCAACATTTGATTTACAGATAAGGATATTAATTTTTTTAACGAATTAAATTATGTTCAAGTTAATTGACATACTATTAATTAGAAGGATAGAGAATGTGTTTATAAGGGCATAATTTTGTTTTTAATGTTTACTAGGTTTTCACTCACTTTTATTTTATTTTTTAAATTTTCCTACCGCTCATAAATCTTTTTCGAAGATTTAGTAAAAAAAAAAAATAATTAATTAAAGACAACATATTTTTTGAATTTTTTTTTTTGGTTTGTTTTAAATCCACCTTTCACGTTTTTGTAGTCATTATATAGAAAATGAGAACAATGAAGTTATTTTATGGTGGTAGGAAATGAAATAATTGCAAAATTTTTAATATTCTATAATAGAATATATGTAAAATTCTTAAATTAATAAATAAAAAACAAAATTTTTATATTCTAACCATTTAAATGAAAATTTATGACTGAAATTAAATATATGATTTATCAATTATTGGGTAGTTAACTATAAGTGATTTTTATTCAATTTGATTATAAGTTATTTTTATTCAATTTGATTATTACTTTTTTAAAGTTTAGTCATAGTAATTAACTTAAAACTCAAAGTTGAGGTAAAATACACTAAAAAAAAATACACCTATGCATATTTGAAAAAAAATAAAAAGTTATGATGTTTTCTAAAATAGATATTAAATGTTTGCTATGGAGTAAAATTGATCTATTTAATATGTTAAGTTAATATGTAAGTATAAAATATAAAACAATAATATATTTATTTTGTTGTTTTTATTATAAATATTATTATTACTTTGGTTCAAAAAGATGAAAAATTTGATATAAAAAAAGTTATGTTAGAGTTGAATATAATGATCATATAGTGTGAAACACAGTAATATAATACGACATATGGCTGGACATACAACAAGAGGACTTTCTTCTCTTCTATCTATTTTTTGAGGGTCTTATTGGTGGGAGGGGAGACATTTGAACTCTATTCTCAAAATATTTCACTGTATCCAGGATCGTAGAGGTGTAGAGGTGGGAAGGCTGTGAGTTTTGTAACAAAAGCAAACCGACATGAATAGAAATTTGAAATATAATAACAAATATTAATATCAATTATAAAAGAATTGAAAAAACAAGAACAAGGGAGATAGATGATAAAGGAGACTCCTATCGACTTTGCTAGTTTGTCAAATAAAAAATATTGTCTATGGAATCAATGCAACCGAAAGATGTGTATTAAAATCATGTTTCGTACATGTGCAATTTATTATTAACTCGAAAGGTATTAAAAAAAAAGATGCAAAATTGAGTTATGTATGTCAATAATGTTTGTTGTTTTTTTTTTTTTTTTGCTTTTTTATTTTTATTCATGTTTCATAAAACACTAAAGTCATCTTCAAGAATATCAAAGGTATTTCTGCTACTCTGATCACAGTCAAATTTGTTTACAACAAAAGTGTATCATGTGAAGATGTGAAAGTTGCTGATATCGACCTTACTTACCGCGAAAGTCAATGACCAATTAAATCTCAATGTGCATAAATGTGAAACCCACTATTATTGGAAAGCAAAACCCTTCCATTTGTCCCTGTTGATGCTCCATCAATTGATTAATCTTTTTCACGGGCTCAGAGTCACAACGAATTTCATGAAAAGCTATTTTGTAGTTTATATTTTTTCGTAATATTTGTTTTTTCACTTTAATGTTCCTTAGTCCTGCTCCATTTGGAGTCGTCATGTTCTCAATAATTGTATTAGTATTCTTGTAAAGTGAAATCATAGCTTTGAATATGATCTAGTTACCTACAAATCTTGAAAAGCAATTTTTTTTTTGTTCTAAAATGAAAATCATATCTTCTAATTTACTTCAAAATAGATCATTGATGAAATAGTTAAATCTGATTGGTTTGATATTTGTCCAAAAATAGTTTTTTATGAGGAAATTTTTAACATTATATTTAATAAAACTTATTTGAGAATTATCTATAATGTATAATCTTTAATCTATATATAAAAGGTATAATATAGGGAGAAAATTTATCTACCATTTTGCCTTTTAATTTTAATCATCTTCTTTATTTTTTGATGATAATTTTGCAATCATCTTTCTCTCTTTCAATATTCCCTCAAATTCCACCAATTCTGCCCCCCCTCCTCTTAAATTCAAAATATTTTCTTCCACATCTACAAATTTCACTTTTCTTAAATAATTTTTTCTCCCCCTCAAAAAACTTCATTTATCTCTCTTAATTCTTTCATTTTTTTTCCTTTCTCATTGACCGATCTTAAACCCTTTTATTCTCCACCCATCCAAATTTCTTACTCAGATTATATTTATTTGGATTTTGTAAATTAAAGATAGAGAGATAGTATTTAGACTTTTTAAAATAAAATAATATTAAATTTGTGAATTTAAAAAATCAATATTTTAATTGTGGAAGATAGAAAGATTTATTTTATTTTATATTTTAAATAAACAATGCACAAATGTTTTAAATAAAAAAACATAATAATACTAATTATAAAAAAATATTAACAAATACAAAATAAAACACATAATAATATAGTAATTATAAAATAAAAAACAATAGTAGAAAAAATATAAATTAAAAAATAAAACTAAATCAATACACACATTCTTGAAGATAGACAAACATATTAAAATTTATCAAAGTAACAACGAAGCCACATAAACTTGCGAATTGAAATATAGCTTTGATATATGAATTCGACTTGAACATATCATGTATATCTTGAGTTGCTTTAAAAATTAGAGAGATTTTGAGAGCAAGAAATCGAGAGAACTAAAAATAAAGAAAAAAAGTATAAAGCTCATGTTGGTGAAGAATGTTATAATAAAATGTCTTTTTATATGAGTAGACGATGAAAAAGTTATAAATCTTTTTGGATTTAAATTCTATTATTAATTATTGATAGTGAAGATCATTAAATTAGAAAACAACATCTTTCATATTCCAAGAAGTCACTCTTACACATGAAAAATATGTAGAAATTTATTGAATAATAACCCACCACCAAACTAATGTATTAATATATAAATTTAAATAAAGGTTGTATTAGAAATGGCAAAAACAGAAAAAACAAAAAAGGAAAAAACCAGAAACAACGTGGATGAGAGGTGAGATAACCTAAAAAGGACAATTTAGGTATTATTTTAAAAATCAAGGATAATTTCAAATTACCAATTCAATTTTTCAACCATTCTATTAAAAAGTAAAAATTAAAAAAATAAAAGATCAATTCAATTTTAACTAAACTCGTGGGCAGTGAAAAGGTCTTGAAAAATTGAATTAGTGAAAAGGTCTTGAAAAATTGAATTTAATCTGTATTTTTTTAAAATTAAAAATAAGATAATTTTAACATTTCAAGAATTTGAATGGTTTAGGAGAGAGAATCCATGATTAATAAGGGAGATAGTAAAAAAACTAAATGAAGGATAGATGAACAGGGACAACTTGGATGGTTTGGGCCTACGAAATATATTGAGGTCTTGAGGTATGATAATTTGGATATTATTAAAACAGTCAAGGTCAATATCGTCCGTAAAATATTTCTTCCATATCAGTATTTTTGACTGCTCTAATTTTTATACCTCTTTTTAAATAATATCTCTCAATCTTTATAAATTTCATTCTCTCTCTATCCCCACCATCTAATTTTTCTCTCTCGTTCTAGATACTATCTTTCAATCATTTGAGTAAGAAATTTGGATGGATGGAGAATAAAAGGGTCTAAAAGTGAACGAGAAAGAAAAAAAAAATGAAAGAATTAAGAGAGAGATGAATGAAGTTTTTGAGAGGGAGAAAAAATTATTTAAGAAAAGTGGAATTTGCAGGGTTTGGAAAATATTTTGAATTTAAGATGGGTGGCATGGGGAAGAAGGGGAGAGAGAATTGGTGAATTTTTAGAAAATTTTGAAAAGAGAAAGATGATGATATAATTGTCATCAAAGAAATAATGAAGACGACGAAAAATAAAAGGCAAAACGAGATAAATTTCTCCCTATTATGCTTTTTATATAGATTATAGATTATAGATTAGGAAAAAGTTTGATTAAATATAAATGTTAAAAAACTCCTCAAAAGGTTATTCAAACAAATTATTGGGATAAATATCAAAGCAATTAGATGTAACGAATTCGTCAATGACTCATTTTGAAGCAAATTAGAAGATATGATTTTCATTTTAGAACAAGAATTGCTTTTCAAGCTTTGTAGGTAACTAGCGAGAAATTAGTGATCATATCCAAAGCTATGATTTCACTTTTACAACAATACTAATACAATTATTGAGAACATGGCCCATTCCAAATGGAGCATAACAAAGCAACATTGAAGCAAAAAATATATATTATGAAAAGAGATAAACTACAAAATGGTTTTTCATGAAACTCGTTTGACTCTGAGCCCGTGAAAAAGATTAATCAGTTGATGGAGCATCAGCAGGGGCAACTTCCGCACAGATGGGAGGGTTTTGCTTTCCAGTAATAGTGGGTTTCACATTTGCACACTGAGATTTAATTGGTCCTTGACTTCCACTATAAGTAAGGTCTATATCAGCAACTTCCACATCCTCACATGGTACACTTTTGCTGCAAACAAGTTTGACTGCGATCGGAGTAGCAGAAGTACCTCTGATATTCTTGAAGCTGACTTTGCTGATTTTAATGCTTGATGGAACCTGTATCGAAATAAAAAAGCATTATTGACACATATAACTTATCAATATTCATGGGGTACCATCTCAAAACCAATTGGTTACGAGAGGAGTAGCCCATGTAAGGTCCATTCTTTTATCAACGTGGGATCCTTAACACAATTTTGCATTATTTTTTAAATATCATTCGAAGTTAATAATAAATTACACAAGAATGAACATAATTTTAATACATACCTTTCTATTGCATTGATTCCATGGACAATATTCTTGGTCTATAATGACGGGATTGCTAACGTTAGTCATTTCAATATCTTCGAAATGCATGTCAGTTGCTGGGAATGTGACAGCAGCATCGGGCCATGTTTTGATCCTAACACCATTCGAAGTATTGATTAATTTGCATTTTTTTACTGTAACTCCTACCACTTCTTTCTCCTTACTGTACTTGCCTAAACTTCCTATGCTAATGCCATGTCCAGGTCCGCAAGTCACATCACTAATAACAATTTGTTTGTTAGTATCTCCAACAGATATACAATCATCGCC